GTTCATGGTTTGATCTTCGTTGCTCGTCGAAGCAGTGGTTGGTAATGGCATAGCAAAGAGTCAAGGGTTGTTAAGATTTTGGTTCATCATATGGTTTGGTTTTGGTTTAAGTTCGCGGTCGGTGTGTTTCGAGGATCATTGTAACACCCATAAATTTCAAGTCAATTTAAAACTTTTTAAAACATTTAAAACCATTAAGTTATTACAGTTTGTTTTCAAAATAGTTTAAACATCAGAGTGTCCCCAGATCAATCATGAAAATATAAGGAGGTGCACGATCACGCCTTCGCCTTCCAGCGATCATCAGAAATACCTGAAACAATAATAGATAAATGTAAGCTCGAAGGCTTAGTGAGTTACCCCCAAAATACCAACGCCATATAAATATAACCATATCATATAAACATATAAGCAAACAGTATGCATAATGAGTCTTCAGACTGACTGGACCGCCTCGCATGCCTTCAGCCTATCTGGACCGCTCTCCGAGCCTTCGGCACGTCTGGACCGCCTCGCAGGGCCTACAGCCTATCCGGACCGCTCATCGGGCCTTCGGTCTGACTGACATGCCCTCCTGGGCCTGTAGTCTATCCGGACCACCCTGGGTATGTTGGCCTTCAACACAAAGCAGGACCGCCTCAACCCAACCCCCAATCAAACAAACATGTGCACATAATATCATACGCTAGCATATATAACAGTCAATTGATTTAACAGATCATCAATCATAGCAACATCCTATAACCAGGATACAGACCTAACCGGTCACTAATATAGCATCATCCTATATACCAGGATACCGACCTAACCAGGTCACTAAGCATATCACTATCCTAACTACCAGGATGTAAATCAATAAGCATATCATGCAATAACCCGGATACAAATCCGATAAGGGACGGCATTGGTGCCTTAGACCCTGTTGATATAGTGAGGATAACTCACCTGACACTGCTGAAGTCCCGCGAATAAAACTCCAGTTGCTGGTTGACAAATTCCCGAACTGTCAACATCAAACAATACCCAATTAATAATTGGGTTCCAAGCCCAAGGTCCAACTCACACTCCAAAGGCCCAAAAGTCAAGTAATGGGACAAATCCCAACATATGGCCTAATTTTCCAAATTGGGCCTAGACCTCTACATGGTCTTTCCTTATGGCCCATCTACTTATTCTAGTCCAAACTCTTGGTATTCCCATGGCTCAATATCACATAATCATCAAGGCCCAGTTATGGCCCACCTACGGCCCAACTTTGCAAATTGGGCCCAAGTCCTTCACATGGTCCTTATCCAAAAGCCCATCCAATTATTTTTGTCCATTTACTTGTTCTTGGATAGCCCGTCAATAGTCCAATCACCAAAGCCCAATAGGAAGGCCCAACTCAAGGCCCAAGTGAAAATAGGGTTTTCACATGAAATGACAATTAGGGTTAAGTATTCCTACTTAGCCCTTTAAGGACTTAATCCAATAAGGACTTAATCCATTAAGTCCAATATTGACATAGGTTAATTTGCAAATGATTTTAAATTAATATTTTAAGTTTAATAAATAATTTCCGTGCGGTCCCGATCAATCACAAAATTAGGGTTTCATGACATTAGGGTTTTCCAAACCCTAATTAGGGTGTCCAACCCAATACTAGCTCATTAGTCACATGGTTGGGCTTTTAGGTCAATTAGGGCTTCATTGGGCCCATTAGGGTTTCATTGGGCCCATTAGGGTTTCATTGGGCCCATTAGGGTTTCATTGGGCCCATTTTGTCCAAGCATCCCAAACGAGTCAAAACGCAAACGAGGCACACCGCCACCCAACACGGCGACTGGTGGCGGCAGCCACCACCTCACGGTGGTGGTTATGGGTTTTTCTATTGATTATTACGACACGATTACAATTTACAACACAATCCAAATAACACACACACACTAATATGAACACACACACACACTAATAAAAACACATACACACAGCCACCCTAGTGGTGGCCGACGGTGGCACGTGGTGGCAGCCACCACCTCACGGTGGTGGTGGTGGTTCACTTCCGCTTCCTGATCACGCAACACACATCCATATGTTGCTCTGGAAATGAGCACAATCACCCACCTTACGGCGGCAAATAGCGGCGACGACTTGGAGTGGCGGCAGCGGCAACAATCAACGGTATCAACTCGTCATCGGTAGCAGCCACCATGGTCGGCTGCCATAGTGGTTATTCACGACTCCCACTGGACAGAAAACCACACTCGCACACGCAACCTCATCACAATCATGAACCACCATGGTTTCCACAGTTGTCGGCTTTTGACCCCTTCGACGGAACACGACATGTGGCGGCATTTCCATCTTCATCGGCGGTTAGACGACACGACGGATCCTCGGTGATCATATGGCTTCAACAGCGGCGACAGAAGTTGTAGAAGAAGGCCGCTACACCGGGGAAGGGAGGTTGTGCCTCAACCGGAGTACGAATCGACAGCAGCGACGCTAAATGGTGGCAATCGATCTCGACAAGGCGGCTGGAGAAAGAGAAGGAGAAGAGCGACAGTTTCTGGTGGTCGCTGTCGTCGGCAGTTGACGGTGGGCGTTCCAGCTTCAGCATGGTTGCAACGCCGGTGGTCTTGCTGATCGGAAAACGGGAGTGAAGGGGGGGTGGTGGCGGCCGGAGGTTAGGAGGGTGGCGACTGCATTAGGGTTGCATGTGTGATGGATTTATACGCAACAGTCCCATCTAAAACTTTGGCCCTATTGACAACTTCGGCCCCTCCAAGCCCATTCCTTTCAACTTAACTACCATATTTTACCCTTTTAGCCCCCAACCATCCAAAACCTCTTCAAATTAAGTCCAAATAATACCAAACACCCCCTGACTTCTAAAATCCTTTGCAAAATAAACCTGAAATTATACTTTAACCCCCGCAGATTCAAATATCGTCATTTGGCTTCCCGAAACCAACACCCCGCTAATTATTATTTGATTTTGGCTATAAAATAATAATAAAATTACATCTTGGGGTTCCGGATTTATTATTTAATTATTCTATTTTAAACGGGATGTTACAATCATTCTGCATGGTTCTGGTAGTACCCCAGTTAGGGACTGGGGGCAGATTCAAATGGATAATCATCAGTTTTAGGGAAGGTTCCGTGAGGAGGTATCATGAGTAGCCATTTTCGAGCAGGCTTTTGGTGGAAACTCGTATTGGGAATCGCGAGTAGGCCCGTGCAAAGTCTGTATCTAGAACGCAGGGGGGTTAAGGAAATATGTATGTCAAAGGCATCAGTTGGAGGGTTTAGGATTTAGCTTATGTGTTTGTGCTCCAGGATGGTTCCACCTTGTGAATGAAGGACAAGTGATGAGGTTTCGGTCTCTTAGCAGCAGTGTATCGGCCCGACAGTTGAGGAAGTCTGTATTTTGTACCTCATTGTGTTTATGGAATTGTTATCATCAAAGGTTATATATATATATATATATATATATATATATATATATATATATATATATATATATATATATATATATATATATATGAAGAAAATTCAAAAAACCTCACATCCCCATTTTTCTTCTTCTCTAACCCACCGTGTTTTCCCTTCCCTTTGCACTATCTGATATAGGTCAAAAAAATGCGCAAACTCAAAAGGAAGAAACCTGGCCCAAATTGTTGTAGCAAAAACATACCACACACACACATACACTATAAACATTTATATCAAGAAGCCCCTTGAGCACATACATCCCCACACAAATTAAATCGATTTAAGCATTACACTTACCGCAAACTCCATGGATCGACTCTGTAACAACATATGCGAAAGGAAACCTTCGATCAATTCCCTTCAAGATTCAGCGAGTATTGGGCAACGAGTTTGTGATTCCATTCACAAGTTCCACTAGTTGGATGAATTTGTGATTCCATTCACATGAAGAACCCATTAAAGAACAGTAGCGGCGAGGTGTTGGCTGATGGTGGCAGATTGGGATGATGATGACATGTGGTGTCCCGATGATGATGGCAAGAGAGATTGAATCAGGAAGTGAAGATTTATTATTATTATTATTATTATTATTATTATTATTATTATTATTATTATTATTTACAGAGCATGAATTTGAACAAATCAGCATCTAGTGTCACTTTTGATGATGAAGATGGTTTTCAACAGGAGGATGAGAGATTGAAAGCGAGTGATGAAGGATCAAAAGGTTAAAAACGCAACCCTTGGTGGAATGCTATACGAGGTTGTGTTTGAGATCAATATATATGTGTGTGTGTCTGGGTTCCATTCTAAACCACTGAACTCTCTCTATTTCTTTTCCAATCTCTATCATTGTGTATTTATGTTTTATGTGTGTGTGTTTGTGTGTGTATCTGGATTTGTGTGTTCCTGCATCTGCATCTAAATTTGATGTCGACGTCGACTGTTATGTTGAGATACAAAGATAATGAAGATGGAAAAAACAAAGCTTGTTTTGAGGATTGACCGAGAAATTAAAGTCGACGAGAAAAATTGTATACCAAACTCAATTAATAAGTAAACTTGAATCAATTGAGCAAATTATGTTTGTGTTAGAGTTTTAATAAGTAAACTTGAGCAAATTATGTTTGTGTTAGAGTGTTATGGAAATTAAATGCACAATAAAGACTAGAAAGCTCCATTGCTTTTAGTTGCAGGAGAGAGAGAGAGAGAGAGAGAGAGAGAGAGAGAGAGAGAGAGAGAGAGAGAGAGAGAGAGAGAGAGAGAGAGAGAGAGAGAGAGAGAGAGAGAGAGTCATAATGACCATTTGTGTTAAAAAAAACAAAGGGTATTTTCGTCATTCACAATCACTTAACAGAAGTTGTTAACGGTGTTAGTCATAAGAATCATTTGTGTGCAAGATTTGTTCCGTAGGAACCATTTAAAAGAAAAAAGTTTTATAAGGACCATTGCAAGAACAAACATGAAAGCAAAAGGACCATTTGTGAAATTTTGTCCAAAATAAAATATGAGTCCCTCCCATAGTCGGATTTTACATTTTTGTAAAAGGATCTATCCTCTTTCTTTTTTCGTTCATCTTTGCTCAACTGGATAAACCCCTACCCATAATTTCAGCATTGCTCCTTCTCCCAACACAAATTGCTAGGATTCTTCGAAATGGCCACAATTTCATCAGCCATGATATCATCAACCAGTTACCTCCATCACCACCCAACCTCTAAATCCTTCAAAACCCAACTACCCAATTCTTTTAAATTAAACCCCAACCTTTCTCAACCTCTCCTCAGATTTACAATTTCACCTATCGTTTCTAATCCTAGACAACCAACAAGACTTCTGTCTGTTGCCGAGGAAACGCCGGTGGCGGTGGTTACTGTGGACCCGTCGTCGGAAGCCGCCAGACGACTGTACGTCGGTAACATCCCTCGCACAACAAACAATGATGAACTCCAGAAGGTTTTTGAAGACATGGTGCCGTTGAGAAAGTTGAGGTATATCATTTGTGGGTATTTTTATATACTTCAAATGAATTATGAAATTTCAGGGCTGAATTTATATCTTCTACTACTCGGGTGCTGTAGAAATTTTATATCAACCATGTCATTGTGTTGGAATTTTGACTTTTGAGGTCAAATGGCTTAGACTTAAACTTAAACTTAAAAACATTCATATAATTCTTGAAAGATTCCGGATAATTTAAAACCCTCCAATCACATCTAATTAAAGTTGACAAAATTTACTTGTATGTTGACAAAATATCATCTCCTATTAGTCAGTCTTAAGAGGATGTTTGGATGTGTGTACTCAAAGTGATTATTGTGACTTAAACATCAGAATGTGTTACTTAGATCATTATATTAATGAAGTTAAGGATTGTTAAGTAATTCTTCATTTCTCTCAATAATCTGTTTTCTTGCAGCAACTCTTTAACATCAATCATAAAGTTGATGCCTTTGTACAACTTAACTTTTGTAGGTAATGTATGATAAATACTCGGGAAGGAGTCGAAGATTTGGTTTTGTCACAATGAAGACTGTTGATGATGCAAATGCAGCTATTGAAAAGCTAAATGGCACGGTGAGGCAATTTTTTTTTCTCTGTATTATAGCATCCTACATTCCTACTTTCATTTCTATCACAATATTGTACCTTTAAAAAATCTACTCAATTAAAACATTGTGCTTACATTTTCTTTTTCTTATGAGGATATTATACTTTGAAAAATCTATCCAATTATAGAAGTGGAAGTTGCATTGTGTTTGGATGATATTGCTATTACTGGGTAGAATTTCCAGGCATAATGGTTTAATGATATGCATTTAACCTGTAAACAGTTGACTAATATTATAGTGTGTAACAGGAAATTGGAGGGCGTAAAATAAAAGTAAATGTAACAGAGAAGCCTTTGAACGGAGTGGTCTCAATTCTTGAAGCAGAGGAAACCCCGTTTGTTGATAGCCCTTACAAACTTTATGTGGGGAATCTTGCAAAAAATGTGACATCAGAATCACTCAAAAGCTTTTTTGCAGAAAAGGGAAACGTTCTTGGTGCCAAAGTTTCACGTGTTCCAGGGACTTCAAAATCAAGTGGATTTGGGTTTGTTTCATTTGCTTCAGAAGAGGAGGTAGAGGCTGCCGTCTCATCTTTCAATGATGCTGTAAGTTGTACTTCTTGCATGTTGGATTG